CCCCCCCCCCCCCCCCCTGTACTTTATGACCGGTCCCTAAAACAATTATTCCTCTCGTCCTCATGGCCTCTGAGTCAATTTCCTATATCCTATTTATTTCCTATTCCTTCCTATATCACAAGTGCCCACAAAGCTTATAACTCTGCATGGTGCTGTACTTCCAGTAAAAACCCTCTGCGTCCTCTACGGGCGTGTGAGGCTAAAGAAAAAAAGCCGACTGTCTGTTTTCCATACAACGAGTTCGTTCCGACCAGAGGGTTCAAAAATGTCGTCGAGCTGTCAAAAATCTGTTCACAGCTCCGCCCTCTTTGTGAATTTAATACACTCGGTGACTGGTTTCGAGGGAGAGAGAATAGCGCGTGTTATTGTCTGAACTTTGCTTCGAATCCAGTAATTCTAAAGAAGTTTTTAGCGTTGCTTATAAAATGTAGTGTATATAGTGAAATGTAGTATATATAGTGGAAGTGGCAGTACAACAACAAAGCCTGTGCCGGCTCCTCGAAGAGAGAGAAAGCCGAAAGAGCCGAGCGTTTCGGATAAATTGTAGAATGTGCGGCTGTGCCAAACACAGTTTGGCAATTTTGCGAGTGGATGGATAAGCTCGGAAAATGTGTTTGTTGTGCCTACCAGAAAAGGAGAAAAGTTACCAAAGTGGGCCGACCTACTGAAAAACGATCTTTTCGTTGTCCTCGAGGAAGGATCGAGAATCTTTCTCCACAAGAGTTTGCTCTCCCTGCGGAACGATGGTTAGAAACTGCCCCGGGATCCCCGGGAAACTGCACGGCGATGCTTTCGTAAATTAGAGAAGAACTGAACACGCCAACTGACGATGAACATTTATTGCGATTGAAAAGAATGAGTAAATCCCCTCATTCCAATCCACATCTTGGTGATTTAGCTCTGTAAATCACTATCTGTGAGAATTTAAAATCCTGCTGAAAACGCTAACGAGCTGGGCCCAGCGTGACAAAACGTTGCAGGAAAATGTCACATTGACGGACACAAACCGCTTAAAATTATTCAAATCCAGGAGGCACTTTGGAGAAATAAAACAACCTAAAACCCTTAATCAGCCGCAATGAAGAGCTTTACATTTCTAAAGGGGCCAAGAAAGAAAATGCTCTTGCATCAGAGAGCAAATCATGCCGACCAGAGAAAATCAATATATATGCGTGTCCCGACCTCTCAGTATGAAATATATTTAATATATATAAGCGGCCAAAATTTACATTTGCTCAGTCAAAACGTTTTCCTCCAAAGCATAATCTACTCGACAGAAAAAACAATTCAATGGAACAAGAAGCATTCTTGCATGAGGTAAACTGAGTCGTGTGTTTCCTACCGATCCCCCTTTTGCCAGGCGAGATAACCATGACGGTCGGCCGTTGCACGGAACTTGAAGAACTCTTTGCATGAACAAACATCTGATAAATAAGGCTTTCGTCAAATCCTGTTGGTAGAACACAGAAAACATCCTTTCCCCTGAGCAGCAACTCCAAAGCTTCCCTCTGCTCCGATTTTAAAACAAATCCCAATTCTTGCGAACAAATCCAGGGGATCAACATTCATCATTTTACAGCGAAAGCTTTAGAAATTCATCACGGTAGGGAATATTACGTAACATTACTTGACAGCTTGGTGACAGCTTGCATCGAAATTTAGCCAATGGGAATTGCCCGTGGCTGGGAGAAGCGGGTAATTCGAACGAATATCACGTATGTAAAACGGACAGTCTCCCGACCTTTTGTTTGACAGCTCGCGCGTACTTGAATACGCAAAAATTCGGACTGTTTTGCAGTCTACCTCTCGCTCCGCTTTCGAACGACGCGGACCCTGGCTATGGAGCCAGTTCAGGTATCAGGTAAGTGGATACAGTTTTACTCGTTGATCATAAGTCGGTTAAGATCATTCCGTTTGTTAGCAGATCCTTGCGCCAGATTTTTGCCTACTCCTTTTGACCGTTTTTCGGGTTGTTGGATTATTAATTAGGAAGCCTCAAGAAGCTGTGTCATGAAATTTAGACCAGGTTCAGACGAGGAACTTTTCATGAGCGGAACCTAATTTGAATTACACTGGGAAAACTGACGTGAAACGTGATTTACTCCGTTTGCTAACCCTAGTCACGAAACTTCAGAGACATTTAGCTTTCTGAATTCGGCGTTCTGAAAAACACCTGGCTGCCGCTCATGAAACTGCTTGCAAAACATGTTATGATAATTTCAACCTCGTTCCCAACGAGGTTGTGATAATTTATGTACGTTCGGGACATGAAAACTGAGTTCGGTGGCTGAATCCAAGCCGTTCCAAAGTCGCTCCAAAGCCGAAATTCCCGGCCTGGCTAAGCGAGAAGAATATGCGTTCCTAATTGATTCAGACGCCGAACTTTTGATGTACTACTTAATTCAGTGTGTTAGGTTCGGCTCCATGAAAAGTTCGGCGTCTGAAAACTGGGCCTTATAAAAATCAAAACAGCGACAACCACCACCAAACTGAGTGAAACACTACCAAAATTGTATTGCTAAATGTTTTTACTATTATATAGAATATTTTCCCTTAATTTGTGTAGGTAATAGCATGATTTGTAGTGATATTTGGCATAAATACCACGAGTGATATTTTAAAATTGTCATACGTAATTTATCAAATTAATAAAAATTTGATGAAAAGCATCGTTGTTTTATTGTATTTTATTTACCAGATCGACAGGCAAAAATGCTCTTAACTCAACTTACGTATATCCGCAACGCACTTTAAACTCTCCTAAGCTTCATTTATAGTAAGGAAGAGTTTATCTAAAGATGTTTTTTGTGTCGATACTGCATACGTTGGCATTATTTCATGTACTCTCTAATTAATACCAACAAAGGCAGGTTTGTACCATTTTTTTCCGACTGAAGGAGTACAATTTTAGAGAGAAAACCGTTTACATAAAAACCCATAAAACGGCCATAAATCGGCCCGTGGACCACACAGAAGAGACGTAACACATATTTTAAGTAAGTTACAAATCCTTATAGTTTGAATGTTACGCAACATTATGCTTGCTCGGCACTTTCGAACCGGATGTGATCTTTGCTGAGAGGAATGTGGGGTTTTTCCCGCAACTGCTTTCAGTTTCGAGAGATTACTCGAGGTGTTCAGCACGAGGAAGAACTGCGACTTTGTTGGTTCTTTCATCACTCTTAGCTCAGCGTGATCAGTTTTAAAGGGAATCGAACTTGAATTTGTCCACTATAGGTCCCTTTCAGACAATAAGGTATGTATACATCAGTGTTACGTGATTCAAGAACTAAACAATCTCTAAGGTATAAAGAGCTTATTAAGTAACCAGGCAGCGCCTCGCTACCATTGTAAATCATGCTGGTCTTAGCACGCAAGGGTTTTCGCAAGTTTTTTGGAGATGTACATTGGTTTAACAAAGTTACCGAGTAACAAGCCGTGCTTTGATTAGTAACTCGGAGTTTTGAATCTAGTTTCAGCGAGGAAAGTCATTTTGATCTCTGGACATTAAAGAAGCATGGTTCTATTTGATGATGAGTCGTTGAACTATTGCAAGTTTGATACCATTGTGGTCGTGAAAAATTCCCAAAGCCTCGCGACAAACGTTCAAACGAATATGGAACAAGAAATTTGGGCTATTGCATCAGTGGGACGACTCTAATGCAGTGAGAAAATTACTTTGTAACAAAGAAGGTGGCAGACAAAGCATCAAACTTCTCACGAGCAAGTCATACGAAAAGTGGGGTACTACAGCGCTGTGTAAATTCACCCTCTACACAAAGTCTTTTGCTACACGAGACAGCAAAGGCGGCCTTAAAACACTCGATGAGTTGTACATTAAGCCCCGTGGACCGAATCCTTCTGGAAAGTTTCACTCCTCTGTGATTAGCGCGAACGGTAACATCGATGAAACCTATGCTCTCGCTATTGATCAGCTAAGACTTCTGAGAAACTGGCGTTCTCATTCCACCACAGCAGAGATGGATAAGAAAATTTTTGATCGGTTCGTTAAACTGGCTAAAGATGCATTTAAAGCTCTTTCAGTCAACACAGACGACATTAATGCCATTGTGAACGCGACCGGAAGTGCACACGCCGAGGCTCAAAGTTGTGACATGCGCTTGTTTTTTACCGTAATTACTTTCCGGAAACCACTGGAAACCGGAAAGCAGAAAAATGTCAGCGAACACCCGCCTGTGTTTATCTTCACCACATGCGCTAGTACCGTTAGTATTTTCGAAAAGATTGAAAGGTCTTGAAACCAAATGGATAATAAGATGATTGGTCTGGAACAAAACCTGTTTTACTGATTAAGAGTTGCAATATTTCTTCAATTCAGCGGAGACGTTTCGCTTGTAAGACTCCATTACTAATTTTGCGCCTGCTAATTTGCCAATGTTTCAAAAGTACAACATTATTTATCACTGCAACGGTTTTAAAGTTTAACATACAACAATGTTCTGTTGTAGAATAATCATTTTCACGTGCACGTGTTTTAGATATATTGCTAAAAAGCGTCTTGAATATGTTGTACTGACTAATCACATCTGCGTTATACCTAATTAGAAAGTTGCGATCGTCGCTTCTCTCCACTCGAAAAGAACCCAAAACAGAGCGAGGCTGTAGCCGTCGACAGCTGTTTCGCCTTTGTGGCTTGTCAGGACGGCGTAACAAACAGAGAAGCTCGGCTGTGAAAATACCCGCTCATTTATTGAACTCCAACACCCACCAGATCACGCCATATCACAGGTTTGCGTCTGAGGATTCTGACATCGATTTTGGGATATTTGAAAGGGCGATGTGGACCTCTAGACGACCTAGACGTATCAATTGATGGTTGGAGTGGATATTCCGCTATTTTAAAACTCTCATTATATTTTTGCCGAAAGCATTAGTTTTTTTGAGCTTTTTAGTCGGCGGTATAGGTATGTGCCGCGCCAAAAGGTTTTTTTTTTTACCCGTTTTGGTTTGAAATATGGTATCAATTTCGACAATTTTGGTCTGAAACAGGGTATGGTTTGTGCCTTCTAGTCTTGAATTGGGTATGTTTTTTAGAACAATTAGCTACTTCTTCATCCTTTGGCGATAAGACTATTTCCCTTTTAAACTTTCTTACCATACGAGTAGCGTAGAAGCCTTACATAGCCAAGCATTTTTTTCTTTTGTGATAATAGTCAATTTTTCCTTTCTTTCTTACTTAACTTTTATTTTACTTTTTTCATTTGTTATTGTTTTGGTACTGAAATCTTCATGTCGAAGATAAAGTAAATAAAGTTGTTGTTTAATGTTTACGCCAACTACCGTGTACGTGCCGTAACAGCTTGTCATGCGCTCCGGTCACGCGCCGGGCTCCAGGGCTTCAGGTCTGAAATAGGGTATCAAATTTTTGATCAGGTCTGAAATAGGGCAGCGAAAATGACAGATTTTGGTCTGAAATAGGGTAAGGGTTTCAGGAAGCGTGCTGCACCCCACCCAATTTTTCTGGAAGTACCCCCCCGGAATTTTTGGTCCGTTTTGGGGGTCACAAAAAGCAGGCCATTGTGCAAGGCGTTCCTTGTGGAGACCGTCGAAACTGGGACTAAGAATCGTTGCGTGATTGAAGCAACGCAAGTTTTGCGAAGAAAGCTTAGGAAAGATTAAATTTAGAGCTTTTCCGAAACGTGTCGGGCCACGTATTCTATCGCTTGAAAGCGTTGATTACTTTGGAGCAAGTGAACTCTAATGAGTGGTCGAAAAAAGATAAGAATCTTAATAAGCAAAATTGCGATGATCGGGTGTTGTAAACTTTCACTATATGCAAATGAGTATTGTGATGAGCATGCGATTTAGTCTCGGCAAGGATTGAAATGACGTGCCATGTAAATCTGGTGATGATGTAATTTCTCTGGAATCGAGGCCCTTGAATTTTCGACTATTTATACACGCGCATAGCCTGCTACCGGAGAGGTATGTTTGGTCGTCGCTAACACGCGTACTAAATCAATTCAGAAACAAATTACAAGTATCGACGTCGATAAAGTAGGAAGTAAAAAACCTTTAGCGAGTAAATCAGTCTCCCCAATTAGTAAGGCACTGAATCTCCAAGCAGGCGAGACCTGGATGCCGCTGTAAGCGCGTTCTTGTTAGTTATGAGAATAAACGCCTCACTCTTTTAAACGCCTTCCGTCGATTAAACGCCCTCTTTTGGACCCCTAACATTAAATAAATAAGTTAACGCAAGTATGTTCAGGAAATTTGTGTGCCAACCTCGTGCCAAATGTCGTCTCCTGACAGGCTAACTGAACAGTCACGCCATACGAATCTAACATCAAATTTCTGTCTTGGAAGAGAATCAAAGATAATCATGCAGTTGTCGCTCCCCAAAATTCTACCCTAAGCGAAGCCCTTTTCACAGTCCCTAGGTTACAGACTGATTTAAACGCACCAGGAATTATAAAACCGGCAATAGGACACCCGTTTACATATGGCTTATAATTATTGCTTATCTCATTACTTTTAAACTTTGTTGTTAGTTCAAGCCGATTCATCTCGATGCACCTTTTTTAATGGGCTCTAATAGTTCCGGCCTTGTAATTGGCCCAAACCAAAGTCTACACCCTTACATTACACTTTTGCAGCTCGATGGAGAATTAGTTTTCTTGCCTGCATCACTACTTCGCGCGGCACTATGATGCTGTCGCCTCACAAAGGCAAGAAACGCTTCAGAAGTGACAAAAAAAGTGATAAGCAGTGGTTTAATAACAGTCTACGAATAATGACAAAGCAAATGTTAAGTTCTTTAAAAAATGGCAAAATGATGCCACCAACATAGGTCCAGGTGGGATGTGATACACTTGATCTGCGGCATCTATAGTGTGGCGTTGTTTGTTCGGAATACCGCTTGTCAAAAATACATTTTCGAATCCTCTTCCAACAAAAAGAAACGCTCACTGATAGATGGTAAATCTCAAAAATTCGGATTTTATGGATTTATGATTCGTACTGGTGCCCCCACCCCAAGAAGAAAAACAGTAACAACAACAACTGTCATCAACGTACAATATAATCCGGTTTTCCGTTCTTCGGAAATCCGGATTTGGTTTTTCGATCCTGAAAAAAGCACCCTAGGTTGCAATGAAAAAATATCTCGCAAAAAAATTTAATATTAAAAATGACAACGATAACAACGTCCTATAGCGTTTCGACAACTTCATACCATCATTGTCAAATTTGAAGAAAATTGTAGTATAAATTGATCCGGTTTTATTGGGCTAGTTGAAACGATGATACTTATAATGGGACAGAAGATGACTCCAAAGATGTGAAAGAATACTCAGAACCTGTAAATGACGTTTATTCGCAATACAAACATCGCACTGTGAAATTAAAATTTTCAAAACCTCATAGTCCGATTTATTACTTCCCGGCAATCCTTATAATACGCAGTCACGCTTACGTAACGCACCTTTCGAAGGTGTGTGATACAGTCGATCTACAAACTACCTCACCAAACAAATGAAAGAATATGTTACAAATTATACATTTAAATTCACTTTTACATAATTCACTTGTCCTACAATCTGACAGTATATTTCCCGTTTTAAATCCTCCATCTTGGGTAATAAGTAGCACCACTGGCTTTTCTGTAGAAGTAAACAAGGAATCATAGGCCTAGTCTAGAAATAGAAAGGTCCTCAGGGGGAGGGGCGGCCAACCAAGGCCCGTAAACGCAGTTAACTCCTGGCTTAAAACGTTGCTCTTCTGGAGCCCATTTCTCCAAAGTCCCGATAATCAACGAGTCCGTCAAGCTGTTGTTGTGTACAATGAAGGTAGAGGTTTCAAAAGTTTCGCAATCTTGTATATAAAAAATCCATGCACCATAACTGTATTATACTTTAATTCGTGATTCTGACTCTAGCGAAGCAGACAACAACTACTGCCTCAAATCAGACCTAAAATCCTGTAAACAAATACAGAATTAAAAACATTCTTAGGTTTCTCAAATTGTTTAAAATAAAAGTGCGTGCCCCTCGAACCCTTTCGTTAATATTGATCATTTGTTATTAACGATCTTTATACAGTTGCAATTTAGAAAACATAAAAGCTTAAATGCTGAAATATAGAGTAACTAATTTATTCTTTTTCCCCTGTTTTATTTATATCACATTAAGTAGACGAGATGCCAGCAAGTACTGCAGTATTTTCTTGTGTCATTGGTGATGAACATCAGTAAGTGTTTTTTAACTTCCCTTCAAATGTTATAACAGTATCAGAACAATGTCTTGAAAAAAGCTAATGGTTATTCATCGTAGTAGATACCATAATAATAGAGTTATCTTTTGTCAACCCACGATGTAGGCAATTTAGATGTAGATCACCACGTTTCAACTGCTTACTGCTAAGCTTCTTCAAGCGGTGAGGTTGACTGATAAGGCCTTGCCTTTTTTATCACAGTAACAAAAAAACCGCGTTCCTGTTCATGTTCCTTTTTTGAAGACTGAGAATTACGAGTTCTTAACCTGTCACGATGAGCCAGAGGTCCCTTCAGATGAGTCTTTAATATGCTCCGCTAGTTCACTTACTTTTCGGACGTTATCCAAAACTGTTCAGCACTGCAAGAGATAGCCAAAAAGTTTCAAAGGTCGTAGTAGCTCTTTTATCGATGCAAAGACCGTCGTCGCTCTACGATACTAGGACTAGCCTGTACACAGACGTTGTTTTATTTTTGTTTTCGTTCTTTTCGAATTTGAAGAGAAAATAGAGGGTCTATGAACAGGTTATACTAGAAAATAAGGAAGTCATTTCCGTTGGAACAATCAAATCTGATGGATCACGCTATACTACAGGGCTTCTGGTAGGTTGCGAAAAAGAACATGTAAATTTCGCGGGATTTTCAGGGACAGATTCGCGGAAATTTTCGGTAAAAAGCGGCCGATTTCGTGGGAATTTTTTGGGCAAATTTGGCTAGAAATCGAGAGATTTTACACTGAATTGACGAGCGTGTTTAATGTTTTTTTAACAGAGATAATCATTTGCTATTTTAACAACAAAGCACTCGAGAAATGAGCCAATGGCAAAGCTTTTAACATCATGACTAGTGCCCAGTTTTTCGCAACATAATTTACGCCTTGTAGTTTTGGGACGTTGTTTGCTCGTTGTGGTGATGAAGTTGCAAGATAAATTTGCAAGTTTACGGCTATTAAACACCCCCAATAGCCGAGATAAGATATGTTGTATTGGCATGTATTTGATAAAATTTCTAGCGAATTTCGCGGCATTTTGCATGTTTTTGTGAATTTCGTGGGATTTCGCGGATTTACCAGAATTTCTCGGCTCCGCGACCGTGCTAAATATCAGAAGCCCTGATACTATTAGCTGTGTCATTTACATTATACAAACGGATGGTCTCCAAAAGGCGACCTGGGGATTTCTTTTAATTTCGAGCACTGGTAAACATTATTAGGTATTGCGACGATGGAAGGTAAGCACCGTTAAAGAACCTGGAAGATAACCACAACAGCGTTCCCTACAATATGGAGGTCTTAAGTGGGACCGGACTGATTGATGCCAGAGAAATTGTCAACTCCTATACTCTCGCGGCTAAGACTAAGACAAAGGAGGAAGGTGAGTGAAGGAAATATTTAATGAGAAAAGTAAGCATAGAATGTGGAATGCTTTTCGATTAATTTATTCATAGAAAAGACTCCCATAACAACCCTTTAACGTTTACTTAATTACGATATTAAACATGTGCACTAGTAGAAACGAACCTCGGAGTTGTAACTATAAAAAACAAGTGGTCTGTTATATAAGCCTTACACTAAATCAGAGGGAAATACTTAATTTTTATTACTACATTATTACGCAGCCAGTAGTGAACAGAATACATACATAGAAGAAATAGACTGGTTCAGTTTAGCCACGTGAACTGAATTTTGAAACCAAAATGCTGCAACAACGTTGTCAATATCTAACGATTTAATTCTCAACCTGTTTCATATTTTTAAATAAAAGGAGCATTTACTGCTAAATTTGAAAATCCGCTCGATCGACATATTATAGAGGAGATAGCTGATTATTCAGCAGTAGCGGAACCAGACCTTCAGATAAGGGGGGAGGTGGGGGGGGCAGTCATTCAGACCCTGAGATAAGGGAAAGGCTGTCTCAAAAAACATTTTTTCGGCCCTTCGGGCCCCAGTTTGATCTGAAAATAGGGGGGAGGCCTCCCCTGGATCCGCCACTGTTCAGATTGTACCGAGTGCAATGAAAAGCCTTCGCTAGTGAGTGCGCACCATCTGCAGATATTTATGTTGATAAGATATAGAATATAAATAAGTGAATACGGAATTATTTAAATGTGGACTTAAGTTACGGACAGCTACGGACTCGAGCTTACTGGTAGCCTGTACTTCAAACAAATTTATCCTGGTTAACTGGGTCGTTTTCAATTCGTCATTTTCAACTCCGTTTTAGCAGACTGTTTTGGGTCGCAATATGAATCTAACGTAAGATAAACAAGTACACATTAAATCAAAATTTGACATTGAAGTACTTCTTTTGGTTTATACAGCATCGATGAATTTTCAGCTGTCTCGCAAAGAACTTTCTAGCGAATCTTTGGCTGGATTATTGTTCTTCATTATGTCAGAAGGAAGCAACACACATGCCATGGAAATCATTGAATTAAAGATGTCTGCTTTTGACGTCTCAGTGTTTTCTCTCGGTATCTCAAAGCTCAGCTTTAGCACAGTTAAAGAGGATTATCGAACATGGTGTTTATCAGGTTGTTATTTACATTATATCTTTACCAGCCATGGAAGACTCGTATTTGACAGGTCTATAACTTTGCAGTCTAGCCGTCCTATAGGTGATAGTTTACATTACGACTGTCCGAAGATGTCGCACTTTGTTCTGTGTTTAAGGACTTTTTTTAGTTTTCAGGAAATGAAAGGCGTTATTTTTGACATTAATAACTGGATGTTTTGGCATTCTTTTGAAAGATCTCTAAAACTTTCCAAAAGTACAAGTTCGTTTCATGATTTTCCAGTAGCGAACGTATCATCTTTCTTTTTTGAAAAACATAGCAGTACCTCTGGTTTTGTAGTTGTGGAAAATAAGCCCGTTTTAAAAACGTTTTATTGCTTAGAGGAGCTGGATTTTAAGGTTCCTCATTCTTTAGTAAGAAACGCAATGGAGTCTTCGTGTGATATTGTCGGAGTTAGCTTCGGTGCTATCACTGTTGGTGGCTTGGAGGAATGTTCACGCAAAAAAAGTGCCTTTCTAGTGAACCCATACCTGCCTTATTCTGGTCGGATACTGGTAACGTCCCATTCAGTTCCTTTTGCAAGCTGCAGAAAACAAAATCCACACCTGTGGAGAGTACCAGCTGTGGAAGAATTGCACAAAGAGGTAATTTTTGTCATTTCCTTATTAACAAACCGAAATACGGAGGTTCAGCGACCCAGACTCCACGTATCCCCCTAGAGAAGTTTCAAAATTATGGTATAAGTGGCCAATAATCCCAAGCTAAGTCTTCCTAGGATATTTATGGTCTAAGATATTAGGGAGCACTATTCCTGTAGAGTTTGCGATTGATTGAGCATTTAGTCTCGACTATTAACAATCTTGGTCAAAACAAAATGGAATGGCAGACCCCCTCGCCTAGCCCCCGAAATCTAAAAGTTTTAGCATGGATCCTCATAGCATCCTAAAGTAGATCATGACAGCATCCTGGCAATAACATTCATAGTTATGTGCCTGCCGCGCGTTGTATTCATTGGCCCTATAGCACATTGACGGTGATATTCTTCTGTAAATTGACAAGGTATCATGACTGTTCGTCTTGTTCTCGTCTTTAATGAGATTCCCGTCCAAACAATGGATATTTTGGTGTGTGATATACTGCTCATTTGGGACTTCGCTACTTCATGCCAAATTAAAACTGACTTAAGTTTGTGGAATGAAGAATTATATTGAACTGCGAAGTAGTCTTTATTTAAACCGTTTCCTTACATTTTTTTTAACAGTTGCCCCCCGTACCTATATTTACGCTGTTTTAGGGCTTTCCCATTTAGTTTTGGATCTTCGTAGATAGGCTCGTCAAACTACTGTATTCTAATGGAATATAGTTAGTACCATTCTCACTAAAATTCAACTCATCAAGGAGAATTTTATATTTTCCTCCACAGAGTAACAAACATGAACTAACCCACCTTGTTAGCAATCTCAATGATGGGATTCATGCCGATGGAGATGTTTTCTCGTGTCTTCCGCTGTATTCCTGGATTCAAACCAAACCCCCTTCGCAAACAGATGAAACATTGAACAGCGATGCAGTGACCCCACCTGCCAATGCCTCTCACAACAACACTGACGTAATTCATGGAAGTGACCTGCCTCGAACGAGGACGCTATCGGCTGAGAGCTTGATGTCTTTAGATGAACTGGACCGGTACGATCCAAATCTTCAACGTGACCAAAATGAATCAGAAAGCTGTCTATATAGAGATGAAGAGCAGGTCACAGAAAATCCGTCGACTTTTTCTAGTAAAAGCACTCGTCTGTCCGCGAAGGAGCCCGAAAGGCTTTCATTTGATGAATGCTACCTGCTATATCGTAAGAAGAGTTTAGCTTCAAGCGAATGTAGCCATGGTTTTACAGAGAACAAGTATGACCAAAGAGAGAATTTTTCGTCCATCCCTGAAGAGAGTGAAAAAGAAAAGTTGAATGTGGCTGTCGATTCCATTTGCGATTCTCAGGATGTTTTTGAAAGGGACTCGGATTCAAGCCGTGGGAGTGACTGTGAAGCCCAGTGTAACGCATGGCTTGAAGATTTGGTTGGGCACCGAAACCAGGTACAGGACTGTTCAGATGCATGTTGTCAAAGTATTGCAGGTCTATCACGTTTGACAAGTTCGAAGAAGACTCACGCTGGTACCCAGACTGAGGATTGTTTTGGGCCTGTCGTAGCAAACTTGGGAAATGAGTTGGCAGCTTCTCAGAACATGTGCAGCGAGTTGCAACAAAAGATAAAGTACCTAGAGAAGCAACTGGAGCTCTTTGAAGAGGAAAAACATAAGCTCCAAGCTGATCTGGGAAGATACCTGTTCCTGGAAAAGAAAGAAAAACGTATGTCTGCAATGTCAGTCAGAGGACATGACTTACTAGGCCATATCGTTTCAGGAGGAGTCACAACAGATTATGATGGATCATGTTCATTCAATAATTTACCAGACTCTACTGTGTCTGTTATGAACGAAGGTAAGCAGCTAATCATCCTTTCTAAGTAAATCCGAGAAGCTGATGTGAGAAAGGCTGATCGCGCTTGAGCCACCGTACTGACCGCTCAACGACAGCGTGTGACGGCGCTCCTTGTTGTTACCTTGCGTTAAATTTCATTTAACTTTACTTAACTCTGGGTAGCTGCTTGCAGAAATGAACCGTTTTGATTTTGTATAACAAATTGGAGTCGATGTTGAGGTTCCGGGGTACTGTTTTAGTCTTCTCTATTAGTTTTTGTTTCAAAAATAGGCACCTATTCTTGACAAGATGAACTTTTAAAGTACAGTAAAAATTTCAGTATAATATGTTTGGTAGCTGACGCAGCGTTACGTTACAGGGTACAGAACAATGTCTACTGCTTGATCTAAAAAGAGACACGAAATAAGGATTTAGGATATTGTTCTTTTATACCCTTCCTCTATTATGTTATATTATTCATCGTGCTATCATTGTTATTTGTGACTTAACTTCCGGTTCGGTGTTTTACATGCTAAAGGTTACAAGCAAGTACACGTAACGAAAGTGCTCACTATGCTAGAGTTGACTTAAGGCTAGACTGATTTTGTTAGTAAGTTTCGATGTGTCGGAAATGCCTCCATTTCCAGAGGTAGTAACATAAGCTGATGTGTCTATTTCTCTCGAAGCATCGAAGCATTCCAAAGGAAACAGTTTGTCAGGGAAAAAAACTAGTGATCTACAGGAGCATGCTGCATGTTCAGCTCCCGATAATTCTGTTGGTTTACAAGATAAACATCTAGACGATCAGCTAAACAGACAAGACCGGAATGGGCTTTTCTTTTATGGGACTTCACTTCCCTCCTCAAGCAATGCTGAACTCTTTCAAGTAAACGATACAACATTAAGTGAAGAGAAAGCAGATCTCGAACACCAACAGTGTTCATTACTCCCTTGCAGCCAAAGGTCAGAAAAAACGGCCGATGTCGCCCCTGAGTCTGGTATGAATGCGGAGTGTCATCTCTCCTCGTCTCAAAGCGCTGTTACTGCCAACGATTACCCTTGGACATTCAAGTCTTTTGATGCTAGCGTCTCATCAAATTCCAGTCAAAGCGCAACTGTAAGTTCAAACAGTCAGTTAGCTATTATCAGCACCTTTTACAAACCTAAGGCGATCAGTAAAATAGCTTACAATGTTGATGTCACTCTCTTTTGATTCCGTTTTCCAGAACAGCAAGATCTCAAGTGGCAATAGCCACAACCTAACTTGCGTTAAGGAAAATCCTAGGCTTTCAGTGGGTACGGGCGTGGATTGGAAAGACGAAAATGTTGAAGTGCCAGGACCACGTGCTGCCAATGGAGAAGAAAGGGTCGAAAGAGCTGTTGATTCAGTTGGTGATGCATCACTAACAGCATTGCCGCCTGGGACAAATACACGTGCTGTAAGCGCAGCTAATAGACCATCGTCCTGTGAAACAAACTGGGAGCGTCTTGGCGCTAGACCTAAACAACCTCAGCAGTCGTTGGCGGCAGAAAAACTAAGGGAGCCTCTCGTCTCTGCAACAGATGGCTTGGCTGCTGATTTCCTGGCAAGACACACTCGAGACAAGGCCCTCCAAGACAGTTTTTGTCAAAGTACTGGTACACCAAGTCCCGTTTTCAGCGAGAATTCGCAGGGCACTTCCTATGTTGATGGTTATGCACCTGAACCAAACCGAGCTACCGCATACTTTGGAGGTTTGTCATTTCCAGCTGAGACTGATCCACACAGAAGAAAAGAGAACCCATTCTCGTCTGTATTCAGAGAGGAGTTCGACAGAAACTGCATAGAGGGTGATTATTCCCATGAACACCTTTACAATAACACATCAGATGCACCAGATGGACCTTTCTACAGCCCCTTGGGAGAGGGTAGCCTTTCAAGATTCAGGAACTACTCATCCAGAAGTACTACTAGTGCAGTAAACAGCCATACTTTTCAAAGTGGTTTTGTCGAAAATAGCCATGTGCTCGCAAGAAACAATCACCATGAAGAAGTGCAGGATCCGTCTGTTTTACCAGATTCGTGTTCAGCTTTTAATTCGGAACCCACGAACACAACACAGCAGCACTGGTCAATACCTGGTAGGGTGTCAATGGTCCGTCCCAGTGGATGCATGACAACGTTTGAAGATGCTTGTTTGGCTCAGGGATCTACTCACGATACGTCTATTCTTGAACCCAGTTATGGTGATGCAGACAGCTACAGAAGTTCTATGTTGAACAACAGAGACTTTGGTACAGATTCAGTCGAGTCCTCAGACAACTCATTGCTTGCTCTGGAACGGCGTGTTGCAGAAGCTTCCGCTCTTGTTGAAAGAGTCCTGCGAGAGAGGGAGGAACGTGAACAGTTTGGAAGGGAGATAGAAAGAAAAGAACAGTTGATCAGAGAACAGAGAGCCAAAGAAAAGAGAGAGAGGGAAGAAAGAGAGCTGCGAGAAGCTGAAAACTGGCCACAACAACAAGAAGCCATCACTGCTCGATCACAGTGGTTATGTGAACATTATCAGCGGCATTGCAAAGTACGCTTCCCTTGTTGCACTCAATTCTATCCATGCCATCGCTGTCACAACATCTCGAAAGCTTGTGAGAATGAAGAGGCTAAGGCTTGTCATGCCACTCATCTGAAATGCTCTCACTGTCAGGAAGAACAGGAGGTAATGTTTTTTTGGACATAGCAATTCAAGACTAACTGTAAAATTAAAAGTTATCTGGAAAAGTCCAGGGCCTGTTTGTCAATCAGAAGTCATGAGGCAGTACCTTATTTCGCAAAGACTCATTCTTAATTTTCCAAATTCTCATTATATTGTTACTCCGGTTGATTGGAGAAAATACGAATGTAAGTTGCCCGAACAACAGTGTCAACACTTTCTACAGAACAGCCAAGTTAACAATGCATACACAGAAAACCGAAGAAGTAAATTTTCAATGTTACTTACTCCGTTCTTAACTTTTTTGTGATTTGTGCTGTGTGTTGTCAATAGCTTATTTCTTTTTCATTAAAGATCCCATGATGCTTTTAAAAACACTCACTTACTTCCCAGAGAGAAAATTCCTTACGGCGAGGACCTCATTGATTTGGCGACCTTAAGCTTGTTTCGACGAAGGTACTCGAATTAAGGAGTTCAGCACCACTTAAGTACAGTCAAAACCCGTTAAAACGCACACAGAGGGAGCCATAGAAAGTGTCCGTATTAACGGGGTATCCGTGTCCAGCTGGTTGGAGACTGAAAAGGGTTTTCTTTCCCCTGTCCGTATTAACCAGGTGTCCATAAAGCGTGGTTTGACTGTATATATGCAAAACTAAAAACAATACTTGCGAGTTACATTTCCCGAGTCTCATTTGCGTTTGTTTAGTCTTATTTCTTGGCCCTAAGTAATCCAAAGAATGAATCTAGTTTAAGTGAAACGTTCTGCAATTCTATTTTCACAGATTGGCGAAGACAGTGCTCATTGTCGTAAATGTGGAGGGAAAATGTCTGCTTATTTCTGTGCCATCTGCAAGCACTTTACTAGTATTGACAAGAATCCGTACCACTGCGATAAATGTGGAATTTGCCGGTAGGTTAAACATTACTTTTTCCTTCCAAAATTATGATAATTAGTAATTGAGAAAGAATTTTCACACCTTCAAAATATTGAAATCTTTCAGGGGGTGACAAAGGCAGTTATATACCCTAAGGAGACACCGAAATTTGAGATTCTACCTCCATTAGGACAAATTGAGTGTATCAATTGAGTTCGAATTCATCTATGGTTTTCTAACCAACATCAGTATCACTGCGAGACGATTTATTGAATTGATTGAGTACCTGAAATCCTTTACCTACATTTACCAGATTTGGCCATGTTTACAGTAGATACTTCAAAGTCCGTCAAAATGGGCGGACGTATACAGTCAGACGGGTCATTCCTCCAAAACGGAAGCTGTTATTAGAAATGCAGCAAGTACGCAGAGAACACAGCCACGTCAAAGGGGTAGAATAACAAAGAATCCAACTCTTGCTTTTCCAGGACACGACAATTTTCCCACGCCTCACTATATAATAGAAATTACGATGTTTTGGGTCCTTTCAGTTTTTTACTATAACCAGCATTTTTCACAAACAAATTTGAAAAATATATGTTATGATCTTCCTGAATGAAAAAAAGATAAGAAATCAAGCAAATGTTGCCGATAACAATAGAATGTTAATTTCCGGCAGCAGTTTTTTCAGGTTTTCTTTTCTTGGAGAGAGCATATTTTTCTAAGGCATAAATGAAATAAGAAATTACAGAACCGCACGACTTAATCAATTTTTCTCATTTTGTTTCGATCAAGGATTCATCAGGACAAATCATTCCATTGTGAAATATGTAATGTATGTTTAGACAAACGACTCGAGGGAAATCACAAATGTCGACCTGATTCAGGTCATGATGAATGCTGTATTTGCTTGGAGGTAAGTTAAAAATTCATTCCTACCTTTCTGGTTTCTTTTTTTGTGTGTTTTTGTTTTTAGAGGGGTAAGGGTTCATTGCAACCCCTTTCTAACGAGAACGTAAGGTTTCCCTCATTAATTATCAGATAGCCTAAGAAAACAGCCGACATTTTGCGACGCTACCACTTGGTTCTCCGCCAAATGACGTGTCGGGAACAAGTGCGGAAATTCCATACTGATGTCGCACCTGATTGGTCCTGCCGCGTTGGAATTTTACTTTAACCAATCAGAAGTACTACCCAGATCTATATAGTGTTACTTCATCAGTATGTAATTTCTTAGGCGTCGCAAAATGTTGGCTGTTTTCTCGGGCTAATTGTGCGAAAACAGTTATTTGAATGCTTGTTTGACTTTGTTACAATAACGTACATTAAACATTTTTTTTACTGAAAGGATGCATTCAGTGGTTGTCAGATATTGCCATGTTCACACAAAGTCCACAGAGAATGTGCCATTGCTATGATACAAAACGGCATGTAAGTCATCACTTTTACTCACTTACTCACTTTTTGTTACAGATAATTAAGTAGCAGATAATCCTAAATGTATCTTGAAGCGTTTAAGCTACTATCCTTTTAGGGTTTAGTCAAATGTCCCCAGCCGCTCCTAGTTCGAAAAAAGATGAAGTGGGTGATGGCCGTTGCCGCCATGTTATTGACAGGTTCCCAGAGACGTCATATTTCTTTCTGCTAAGGAGGAGGGGGAGTGATTTGAAAGTACACCAGGTCTCGTACAGAGTCTTGAATTCTTGAAAAAGTCTTGAAATTTGCCTAGCAATTTTTCAGACGTGGAAAAAGTCTGGAAAATAGAGATAAAGTCTGGAAAAATAGTAAGAAGTCTCAATTTTTTCCCCGTGGTCAAATTCCATTCAATCTCGCCCATAGCCAAGACATTTAATCACAGAATGAGAAGTTTCATAATTCTCTTATGTCCGCATTGCATCGTGGTTAACGTAAATTTGCAGTGCATCATGAAAAAAGTTTGGTTCCCTGTGTTTTCAAGGTCTCTATAGACCACCTGTTTGTTAACCTTGAGTCTGGAAAAATAAAGTATTGTTTTGGAAAAAGTCTGGAAAAAGTTTGGAAAAAGTCTTGAATTTTGGATCCAAAAATCTGTTTACGAACCCTGTACACTCTTCTTGTACCATTCTGGTAATATGTATTACGGAAAAATTACACCAGAATGCCTTTTCCTCTCTGTTTTTTTTTCTAGTCGTACCTGCCCGATATGTCGTCATCCTCTATACAGTCAGCCAAGGGAGTAAGTGTTCCTGATACAAGATCACTCAGTTTACTGTTACAACTCACGTGGGGCAAAGATATGTTCAAAAATTTCTAGTAGTTTTTTGCATGTCTTTCATGTTATAAATGGCTCGTATGGCTCATAAGTTCACAACTGATGTTCTTTTTCTGATCGCCAACACACCTGAGAAAACCTTAGGTGATATAGCATTAGTGCAGATTACCTAATGCTGTAAGGGTAACCGAATCTTTATTGAAAACGTATTTTTTAAAAAGCAGCCTTAAACATGTTAACATCGTTATTTTATTTTAAGTCTAATTTGATCTTAAATTTTTAGTATTATCAACTTTTGTTTATTTGAAATCTCTGTTATTCAAGTATTAGTTAGGAGCGCATTTAGTCATATCCACATGCTAAAGTGTACTTTTTAAATACTGTTATATTATTAAACTGTAAAATTTGCTTTTAAATTTTAAATTCATAACTAAAGGTTTTAAAATACCTTAAATTAATCGAAATCAAGGTACTTTGGTTTCTTGGTATTACAGTTTTTTATGAACAAACAAGTCAATAATATAGCAGTAGTGGAAGGTGATTTCTAAATGGCCAACTGTTAGTTTAGTTTATTTTCTACGTATAAGGCTGAATTTAATTACTACAGTAGTTAAAAAAACAGACAGACAAAAATAGAGTTAATAATACTAACTTTGTCAGACAAATTTTTCACGAATTCGAAGTAGCTTAGCTGGCGAGACGCCTTTTCTCTCTAGCTCATTGTGGGAACCTAATTGCTTTAATTTTTATTCCTATATATCTTTTGGTTGAAAAACAATTCTTAGGATGAAAAATACGCAACAAAAGTGCTTAAATTTAGGTAATATTAGGCATTTTTGATAGACATATATTTCAATTTGTGAAACTACTGGGGAGTCTCTCTTTTTTTCTTTGTTATGAGGAAAATTTTAGAACTTTCAAAATATTGCTTAAGACTCATTTTTTATTGGGTCCAATAGATATTTTGCAAATTTTTTATCATGTAATTTTTTGTTGTTTTTTAGGAAAATTTCAATACTTTTAAAATATTGCTTAAAACACCTGTTTTAAGCTAGCTTTTTATTTTGTAATTTTTTTACCATGTAATTTTTTAGGAAATTTTTAATTCTTTTAAAATATTGCTTAAGACACATGTTTTAAACTACCTTTTTATCAAGTGCAATAGATATTTTGTAAATTTTGATCTTGTAGTTTTTCTTGGTTAATATGCTTTTATATGTCATGCGCATCTGATCATGTGTAATTTGCGCAATATAAGTAATAAATTTATAATTAATATTATTATTATTATTATTATTATTATTGATGGCTAAGTAAGATAAATTTCATTTCAATTTCCATTTTCTCCAATCCCGTAATGGGCACTAAATGCTTTATTGATATTAGAGGTTTTGATAGACAAAATAATTTGTTTCAGTGTTGAGGAGTCTCCCTTCTTAACCTCTGTCATTGAGACGAATTTGTTTTTAATTTTTTAATATTTATTCTTAGGCTTAATTTTACTTAATTACACCACAAAATGCGTGATAGAATGTTTTTAATTTATTGTAAATATAGCCTTCAGGTAAACAGATGTTTTAGAAATTTGCTTTGACTCATATCCTATTCTCAACAAAAATTTAATTCATATGATATCGAAATGAACGTAACAGGGCGCAATTATTGTTTCATTAGAATTATAGCTTTTAAATAGACAAATATTTAGCCTCTCAGTGAGACAGATTTACATTGTTTTAAATTCTAGCCTAAAGTTCAGATTCACAGGACAACGAAACATACGACCAAGTTTTGAACTTTACTGACATTTTTGTTTTACTTTATTGTATTGATATTTTTATTGCTAGCAGCACTTTTATTTTCATAATATTAATATATCATGAATTTGCAATGATGCTGGCTTGTCTCGTCACCTTAAAGTCCCCCAGTGAGACATATTTAGGGTTAGTTTTTTTGCAATTCTTAACAGGGCTCGAAATTGCGACTTATACGGTCGCCAATGCGACTAACATTTCTCCTTAGCGACTAAAAATTCTGGTTTCGTCGCCAATTTGGCGACTAGGTTTCTCTATGATTTAGATTTACATTAAAAGAGTAAACTTAAACCAAACATCTGAGCCTATCTGGCTTTGCTTTCGTCATAAAAAATGTTTCAAATCACACAAACAAAGCCAGTTTACCTCCAAATTTATACCGACCTCTGTCAGCGGTATTTTCAAACAATCAAATCTGATGGGTCGTGCCATACTACAGGGCTTCTGGTTAATCTGATAGGTCGCGAAAAAAAGGCAAATTTCGCGGGATTTCAGAGACATATTCGGGGGTATTTTGGGGGCTAACTTAGCCGCAAACAATCGTTAAAAAACGGCCGATTTGGTGGGAATTTTCTGGGAAAATTTTGCTAGAAATCGATCGATTTTAAAATATAAGAAGCCCTGATACTATGAGCTGTGTCATTTACATTGTACAAACTGGCGACTAAAAATTTGCATCTGGCGGCTATATTCCTACAGTTGGTCGAGCCCTGTCTAGGCTAAATTTTTAAATTCAAAGGATAACTGTGGTGCTTTGCGTACGTTTCTCGGGCGTGATCAGATTGCCTTTTCTGCCTTTTGCTCAGTTTAGTGTAATTCCTAACGAATGCTGGCTAAATACGTGCTGTTCAATTATAGCAACCTAGAGATCAGGATTGCTGGGTCCTCTGGTCACCCGCAATGGTAAAAGGGTTAAATTTCTAATGACATATTTTTTATCGTAGATTATTATTTTATCGATCGATATTAATTCATCAAGAATCTGTCGTAGAATTGACGAGCCTCGTTTTTATAGTACCTCGGTGAAACGAATTTAGCTTAATTTTTTATACTTTCCTAAGCTTATTTTAATTCATAGAAAAGGAATAAATTATAAACAGCTAGTGTATTGGTAGGTTTCGTTTTTTTTTTTTTGCTTCTCAAAAAAATAGATTTGATTTCCTATTTAAGAACCACATGATATATTGACACAGCAAAACCTAAGTGAACAGTCCAGCATCATTTAGTAGAGAAAGCCAAATCAATGCAAATCAGCTGAAAAGTTGCTTCAAGGAGCGCCGTAAGGTACCGAATATTGGTTTGATTTTTTGCCTCAAAATTTGTTCGTATTGTTGAGAAAGTAAGTGTTGAAGAACCTTTTGGGGAGAACTAGCTGGGTTCTCACAACAAACAGATGATTCTTGTGTTCAACTGGCTCTTCTTTATTCTTTACTAGACAACTGGTACGAAGTTGAACTCCTACTTTACAATTCTCTCTAAGTCAGTGTTACATCCACTTTTATATCAGCCTGAAAACCAGCTGCCTAGTGCAAACTAATGCTGTCGTAAGTCTGATCTGTTTGGTTAAATCACACTCCTTAGCATGAAACCTTCGAGATGGTGACTTGATAGTCAAAATGGTTTTTATATTTTATTATATCAACGGGTGAATTTTAAGCATGCACAAATCAAACTGGGTAAGAGTCAGCTAAACCAAAGCTAAAATTTGCATTGCTTGCATTGAAAACCACCCACAAACGGTAATTCGATCTGTAATTTGTATGCCAAACATGAACAGTCTGTAACGTGAAAGAACAGCTGCTATTAATACAGAATACTCTGGCTGAAATGATGATCTGGAGAGTTGCTGCAAAGACAAAAAATTACGGAAATGTTGCCGAACAACTTGTGACGAAGCCCAGTTGTCGGTGACTGCCAAATTTCTCGTTTCATACTTGCAGTTAAACGAACCTGTATGAGCGGACACCTCTCTATTAAACGGACACTAGTAAGAGTCTTGTGGGTGTCCACTTACGACATCTTTGACTAGACAATTGGTCTTCAGCAGACTGGTTTTACAGGAAATTGTTGTCGTACAGTGGCTCGAACAGGTAAATTCTTAGGATAATAAAATAATGATATGCGTTCTAATATTTTATCGATATTTAATAGCTTTATGCTACTCATGTAGAACTGCACAATTATTTAGAGAAAAAATATAAATCAATCCTTTTTTACTGATGTCATGCGCACTAACGCGAAAAAATTCCACCAATACACATCCTAAGTGAAGTTCAATTGCCTCTCACACCTCCCCTCCTACAATTGCTGAGTCCATAACAATAATAGGACATCCATTAAAATGTCAAGTTACAACATAAAAGAACCCATGCA